ACCGCCCTTGCCTCTCTTGTGGAAGATCAGCCTCAGTCGAATTCAGTCCAGCGTGAGATCCCCACCCCGTGCACCGCCCCCGTCGAGTCAGGTTCTGCACCGCCAGCGGAGAGTTCAGGGCCCCCCGTTTCTCCCGAACTTGTAACTGTTCTGATTCCTGAACAGCTGTGGACACAACAAAGGAAAGCTGTAGGGTTTATTTCCGCTGCTGCCCCCCCCCCCCCCCTGCCCCTGCTGCTGCCCCCTCCGTAGCCTTTAGGCTCTGAAGCTAGCGTGCACTCTCAGCGCGGTCAGGTCGCTCTCGGCAGATCGCGCGGCGACGCTGTCGAGTTTCTCGAGGCGCAGGTGCAGGGGGCCAAGCCTGCGTGCGAGGTCGCTCTCAGGGGTAAGATTGCAAACTGGTGGGCGCGCGTCGCTACTGCGCTAACCACCTCGGCGAGACACAGGGACAAATATTTGGGCATGAAGCGGCAGTTCCTCTTCTAAGACGCTGTCGGGCGCCTCGGGGAGGAGGCCCCAGAGCGCCCGTCACCAAGCTTCGGCACTCTGATAATTACTCTTGAGATTTCTGGCTGCAGTTTTTCGGACGCACGGCTGAGAGTTCTCTGGCAGAGCTCAAGACCGTGGCTGAGGCGGCTGACCAGGTTGCTCGGCGGGCTCAGCGGCGCGCGCTCGACCAGGCGATGAGCGAGTTCCGCGCGCGGGCGGGGTCTGCCCCAGCTGTGAGTGCCCTCCGCGGGGCCATCAGAGAGCAGCCATTGGTCAGCGACGCATTGGAAGTCAATGGCAAGTCAATTGCGCACCCCAAAGACATGGACCCCGAGAGGGAACACTGGTTTTCACCGCGGGGCCCGTCAGGCCAGCCGCTGAGCGAGCTAAGCGTTTTTGTTGCATGCTACTCGGCAGAGAGTTCCGGACGAGGCGCTTCCCCCCCTTGATGGTGTTATCCTGGGGGAAGCGTCTGATTTCATGAAGTGTGCTGCTATGGGCGTGGACCGTCTGACACCGTTGGACACCTCTCGGCTTCCAGATTCAGCCCTCGACGGGCTCGCCGCGCTTCTCAATGTGCGTGAGGCGCGACAAGTTTGGCCACATGTGGGGCGTTGCTTCCCAAGCAGCTCCAGGGAGATCGTGTGATAGAATTGCTTCCGCACATCGCACGATTGTGGTCAGCAGCTCGCGAGCGGCATGTTCGTACTTGGACAGACCAGTGCGAGGCACGCTGGGATGCTGCTACTCGTGGCAACTCGGCGGTCCGCGAAGCTTTCTTGCGAGCGATCGACGAGGGGTTGTCAGTGAGGTTGTCCACAGAGTCCGGGCGCGGGCTTATCGACCTGGCCAGCTTCTACGACACGATCGGGTGGTTGCTGTTGGGTCAGACTGCGTTGCGGCTCGATTTCCCCGCGGCGATCTTGGGGCTGGAGCTGCTGCAGTGCATGGCCTCGCGCTGCGCACGCCAGTATGGCGCCT